ATTCTTCTATAATTTTCCTCAATGCTTAATACCTATACTTAACAAAGATTAAAGGTAACTGCATTTTACCTTCCTCCCTAAAATTCAAAGACCTTAAAAATTTTTAACTGACTACCTGCCCCATTTCCCATATTATTAGTTTCTTGTATTTTATGTCTACTTTTAATGTCACACATTTTTATTATGGTTTTCACAATGTTTACTTAGATTTGTACACATTTACTATTTTTTTGTTCACTTTCATCTCTTTAATATCCATGTTCTTTGATTTTGTTGACATTCCTTTTGAAGTGTATTTTATAGTAGTTCAATGAATGCAGTGTATTTTACAGTAAATGAAGTGTGTTTTATAGTGTATTTTATAGTTGTTCAGCACTTCCTGTCAGGGTTTTTCCCCCTCACTGATCTGCCACATGAGAGTAAATTTTCAAAAATCTAGGTTTTTTCTTAGACACTTGACCCTAAAGCAGGAAAAACTCCTTTTGAAGTTTCTATAGGCTTTTCATTCTCTTCATATTAGGAATTAAACACTGAAAAGTTACTTATAAGAGTAGATCATGTATTTATTGGGATATAAGAGTCCAATGCTTTAAGACTGCTTAATCTTCAGAAATATTCTCCTCCTGTATAACATCCTTTTTCCTAGGCTTCCACCCTTTTCTTCCATCTGCCTAAAGCTTACATCTTGCCTACCCAGCACTGTTCTTTACTGTCCACTATTATTGTTCCTATGAGAAAATGAAATACTTTCTAACTGTCCTCACTTTCTTCTGTAATTTATGTTATTTTTCCTAGAAATGCCTGAGAAAGACCTTGCCAAAGATTTTTAGAATGATGAGTCCCAAGAAATATGAGTAATTGTAGCAAGTGAGAGAATTTGAATTTGGAGAATATACAAAGACCTCATTGTGTACTGGAGTTGAGGCCAGTGTGATGGTGAAGTTTATGTGTCGACTGGTCATTGGTGCCCAGATTAAACATTATTTCTGGGTGTGTCTGTGAGGGTGTTTCTGGATGAAAGTACAATAGATTGCCCTCTCCAATATGACTGCCCATCACCCAGTCTGTTGAGGGTCTGAACAGAACAAAAGACAAAGAAAGGAGGAATTCGCCCTTTTTTTCCCGCCTTAGATTGAGTTGGGACATCTCATCTCCTCTACCCTGGCTCTTGGTCTGGGATTTACACCACCAGCTCCTCTGGTTCTCAGGCCTTTGAACTCGAACTGCACTGCCTCATCGGCTTTTGTGGGTCTCCAGCTGGTGGCAGACTGTGGGACTCCTCAGCCTCTATAATCACGTAAACCAATTCCTCATAATAAATTTCCTTTTATATCTATCTATCAATCATCTGTCTATCTCTCCTGTCTTCTACTAGTTCTGTTTCTCTAGAAAACTCTGACTAATACAGGCAGTGTAAGTTTTTCTCAATTTTTAATACTCATTCCTAACGAAGATCTAACTAAACAAACACTGAGACAAACTGAGAAAGAAGATTCAGGATTAGAGAGTATTAAGCAACATTGTGTGGTTGTGTGTATGAGAGAGAGACAGAGACAGAAAGTTTCAGACAATGACAGTGACTGCAAGGTGAAGAGAGACAGAAGAAAGAAAATCTTGAGTTGCCAAGGGAAGTGAAAGTGTGATTCATTTTTTTTTTTAATGCAAGTTATCTAGAAGAGTTGAAAACTGCCTAAATTTTCCACATCAAAGTATAGAAACCAAACTAGCACATTTCATTGACTTAGAGAAAGAAGGAGAAATGGGTGAAAGGAAGGAAAATGACATTTCAGATCAGGTAAAGAATGTGTAATGATAGTTGTGTGACGATTCTTCATTGTCTTTAAGAACCTGAACTACAGAATTCATTCCACATTAGCCTTCTCCTGTTTGTTTGCTGTTTCAATAGACCAGTTTGAAGTGTACAGCATCTAAGACCTTTCCAGTGGAGGTCCTCAAACCCTATTGCCACTGGAAGTGTGCCTATTGTCTCTAGTGGCCATTCCAAGGGTCCAACAGCATATGAAATCTATTTGTTCACCAACTTGTGAAATCTGATCTGGTAGATAATGTAGGTTTCAAGTTCACCTATGACCTGGAAAATTTTTTTAAAAGGTTTAATTCTTAACTCTCATTTGTTTTGGGGTCTTTTTAAAATGGGATCCATGCAATTAACATTAGAAAGAAAAGGACTGGATCTTTGTACTTCATTTTCTAAGACGTGACCTATTTTCTTTCTCCTTTTCCTTGCACCCAACAGACAGGTCCTAAATGAGATGTTCTCTTGGAGGTTGTATGGAAAAACAAATGTTTATAGTTTCTTTCTCACCCAACACTAATAGAAAAATAATACTTTTTCATAATGTTTACATTCTTAAAATAATATTTCATCCTGAGATTTAAAGAAATTATCAGTGCAAGACAAGTAGTTGTTACTCTTTACATAAGAATACTACACTACAAACTTAAATTGTATGCAGTCTCCTCTAGCTTATAAGGGATCAACTTTCTTTTCACTCATATTTTCCTTTTAATTCCATTCTTAATTATCTGTGTTTGCAAATAGGTAGACTTAAGTAAATTTTAAAAAGTGAAGTTGTTTTTAAAATGCTGTCTTAATCATGCTTACAGGTTATTTCTACCATTCATTTATTTCTCTTCTTATGGTATTTTCAATGCTTTTTTTGTTCTCAAATTATCTCACCTCCATTTTCTTCACAGTGGTAATTGGTTGTTATATTGTTTCTTTAATTGTTCTTTTTTATTTCCTCCTGAAAATGCCCAATTTGTTTCTTTGTTTTTTTCTTTTAATTTATTGAAAACATTATTCCTTCTTTGTAGGGTTAGACTCAAATGAGTAGAGGATTCTTCTATATTGTTATTCTTTGAATTCCTTCATTGGTAAATAATAAACAATCTCATCCTTCTGTGTTTATAGCTCTAGCAATAATATCAGATCTTATATTTATATAGGAGATTAATCCTATCTAGGTAATTGCTCAACTTAATATTTGGCAAATATATTTACAGAACTATATTATAATAACCTATTAAAATTAAAGCATTATATATTCTGTTCATGAAACACATTCCAGCAAACTTTCTGGGACAAATCAGCCCCCTTTGTATTTTCTGATAGCCATTTAATAAATCAGTGATTCTTTTTAGCACTTATCTTGTCATTTTTCAGACACTTAATTATTTTTACATGGTTAATGAAAGAGATAAGGAATAATAATAAGAGCGGACATGTTGTAATGCATTACAGCTCACCAAAGCTCTACGTTTGAGGTTGGTAGTCTACCATGTATAAGCATCGGTGGTAAGGAGCAGTAAGTGAATACTTCATGTCTGCATAAAAATTAGAGTTTCCTAAGTGTAAAGTGATGTTTTAAATTTGAGTGAAATTAAATAGCTCTTTAACATAAAATGTTAGAAGAAATTTATAAGGATGAAGCAATGACAATAGCAAAATTTTTATTGGTACAAAAGATTGTAAATAGCATGAAAGGTGTCAATTATAATGAAATTCATTCATTCATTCATTCATTCATTCATGAGTACCTACTATTTGCCAGGTACTGTGCTAGAGGCTGAAAATGATCATCCAATAAAACAGTTTAAATGAAAATGGTGAAATTGGAAATTAGGGTCTTTAAATTATAAAAAATTACCTAGAAGAAGATGGATTAAAATTTAGTTTAAATTTGAAAAATAGGTTCATTGTGAAAGGATAACCGAGCATAGGAAAGCTTTTGCAATGATCATGCCACTATTTTGTATAAGAAGTAAACAGAACATATGGCCTTATCAGAACCCATTCCAAAAAGCCAAAAACAGCAGTAATTGCTTACAGAACACGATGCTTTCATTACAACCACAAAATTAACCTCCTAAGACTGTGGTAAATATCTCTAATATTCCTGAAATCCAAGAAAGCATTTTTGCCCAATACCAAACCAAAGAGAATATTAATCTGTTTCTTTAACATCATTATTTATGTATATTTCACTCATAGTCAAATGTCTAATCAGACTTTCCCTCACCCCACAAAATTCTGATGTATTTGCAAAATTCTGTGTGAAGCAAAAGGAGTAAATGATGGTTATGAACATTTTAACTCACAGCATGCTCCCTATAAGATTTTTTTTTAACCTAAAATAGTATTACCAAGGTTTATCACACAACTTATTTACAAAATGTGGCCCTACATATAAAGAATGGAAATTCATCACTATTGAAAATATTCAAATAATGTGATATAACTTGGCATCCTAAAACTCTAAAAAATTGGTTCCAAATGTTTTTCAACAATGAATACAACCAAAGTTTAAGAGATTTTCCATTCATAAAAATGGTATAGTTTAGCAGCATATGATCTGATGTATTTTGCAAAATGTGAATTTTTACAGTCAAACTTCACATATAACCAACTTGTATGTGATTATAAGTAATGGTGTTAATTTTCAGGGCACTTTTTTTTTTTAACTGATGACATTTGGCATAAATAGTGATAAATTTCCATGTCTAGAGTGTTCTCCTTGCCTATTTTTATTTTGTGAGTTGGTCGCACAAACCTCCTTGGTCTCTGCTATAATTTCAAGATCCTGACAGTGGTAAGTAGTAGATGACTGAGAAAAGAGTTCTGGTACAATAATAGCATACTGAGAATTTTTGGATAAAATTTAAAAGAGGCTTTCAAATATAATTCAAAACAAATACACTGATTTACTAATATTTTCCAGAGCTCACTTAAATTTGAAAAATTTGGTTTAGGTATTCAAAAAGGTTGATCTCCATTCTCAGCGCACATATTATTTGTTTCTTACCTGTTTTGTAGCTTCATGCGCAAGACCTTTGGCTTCTCTGGCAACTTTCTCAGCTTCATCAATATAGTCCTTAATATTGCTGTAGGCTTTGAAGGCTGCAGTGGCATTGAAGGAGATGTTTTTAGCCTCATTAAGAATTCTGTTGGGATGACCCAAGAAACAAATGTTAGAGCACTCAATGGTACTCCAGTGAAGAACAACTTAATTATAACAAACACGTCTTTCAAATGATTGTGGTCAATATAATTATGATAATTCCAAATCATAGTGAGATATTCACTTATTGTATTGTGTTGTAGTTTTTAACTTAAACTCATATCTCTAAATAATTGAGCTACGAAATACATATGTTAAATATCCATAGCATCCTCCAAAAGTCTCTGCATTCATGTGTACAGGCAAGTGTGTGCAGAGAGATAATCCTTTACATTATTTCTGGAGCATACTATAGGTTTCAGAGCACTTGTTGTTCTACAGTACTGTAATTAATTTCACAAAATTTCCTGAGGCAGGTGTACTTCCAAGGGGAGGATAAATGAATCTCAGGTTAAATGGCTTGCTTCAGGTCACTTGACCAACATGTCCCTAATTAAGGACTTGGAATCTGGCTCTGCTGACTTTTAGCTTACTGTTCCATCTACCACCTTCCCTATAAAGTGGCAAAAGTTTGTTACGAAATGAATTGTGCATATAATTCCTAGGATCTTTAAAAATTAATATTTTCCTCTGTAATAATTAATATTAAGTATGGGAACATAGCCTTGCATGTGGTGTAGATTTATTTGGGAAAATTATTCCTGGGGCTAAGAGCACTTCTATTTATTATGACAATCCCAAAATTGTAGGGGAAGCATATCAGTTATACCTAGAGGGCTGTTTACAAGTCAAACATACCCTTCCCTCTTACCCCTCCCTCGTCTGGCCTATGTAATAATCCCAGCTAGAGTGAGCTATTATTTCACAGGGCTGTACATAGTGTCTCCCTGGAGTTTAAAAGAGAAAAAAAGATTTAAAGGCTATGTATGTGACACATTTTCAAAAGCTACCCTTTTAACAATAAATTGTTTTGATTCCATTAGAAATATAAAACTGAACTTTGAAGCAAAATGTGTTTATATGTATGTTATTTAAAATGCTAATAAGGCAACTGCTGTGCTTCCCAATAAAGAACAGAAAATATTTTTTTCTAACTGTAGCTTAGGGCTATGTTCACTTCCCACCAAGCCGTATTTGAATCTACTTTTAACTCACACTTCTGATGCTGCTCCAGTAGAGCTTGGCCCAGACTCTCCTAATTAGGCCCTTCCACAGAAAGGCCATGTAGCTAGTATGTTCATAATTATAGAAATCAAAATTTGAAAGTGATTCTCTACCAGTTCTGCTAGTCAAAACTTTTGAACAAGTGTCCAAATACACAGACATTTCCAACAACAAATGACATACCCATCGAGGACAGCAGATGAGTCATTCAACTGAGCCGCATGGCTCTCAGCCTGGGACACCTTCTCAGCAAGCTTCCTGTCCTTTATTTCTTGGGAGAGGTCATCTATTTTATCTTTAAGTTCTTCAGACATAGGTGGCAATTTAGTTTGAATATCTTCAACATACTGATATATAGAAAAGAGAGGGCATTTTAAACAAGTGAATCTAAACTTCTTCTTACTAATTTCTCTATGAGAATTAATTATACATGCTTAGGGGTTTTTTTAATGAAACTTCAAATTTACTAACATAGCAAAAAGAGAATTTAGAATAAAAACCATTATTTAATAAAGAGATTAGGAAATTCATGAGGCCAGAAGAACCTATCTTTCTAAAAATGCTACTTCATAGGTATAAATGCATAAACGATAGTCATTAGGATCTTTAGACCATTTGCATTTCTATTACCATATATCACTCTGTGTAATGCAATAGACAATATGTTAAAAGCTTGTTTATAGATTTAAATTTCTCTTTTAACTAATGTTATATAAATATTGAAGCAGATTGTTTAAGTGCTGCTCTAGGAAAAAGAAATGCCTTCATCACTATGGAATAAAAACAGATTTGTGTTGAGTGGGACAATAAAATGAAGTTCTAATTGTCACCAATAGGTAGGCAGTGTTACAATAGAACAATGCAAACATAATTTTATCTCCACAAGAAAACAAATATTAGCATTTGCTCATATTACTGAGATTTCTCATTGGTTCCCATTTGTTAAAGCCTGTCATTATCATCTCTCTTTTAACTTTGGGTTCTACCAAATACTCACGTCTATGACTGAGTTGATTTCATCTACAAGACGGTTGGCTTCATCGAGTATGTCATTGCCCTCTTTTAAAGTGTTCTCAATTTGCCGTTTGCCACTTTCAACAGCCTCCTTCTTTTTCTGTAGTATGATATGAACAAGACATCAAAATCCCATTTGGGTAAAACCCAATCAAGCCCTTGTATTCCTGACTTTCCTGAGCTGTCTGAACAAAAGCTTCACAAACACAGTACATCGTATTGACAATGTAGCTAGATGAGAGTGATATAAACTACCCAGCTAGTCAGTACTCCCACAGTTATTCTATTTAGAGCCCTATTCAGGTAATTTCTCCTTCCCATTATGAGAAAGTCATCCAAGCAAAGAAAAATTATGTGATAGTAGCTGAGGGATTAAAACAATTTTTAAAGCAAAATGGAACATCCATTTTTAACTAAAATATAAGTGCCAAATATATACTATGGGACAGGTGGTAGTGCACTGAATTACATGGAACTCCATATTGAATTCCAGGCTCTATATACAAATGAGTACTTTGTGAGCATACACATAAAACAGATTTACTCAATGAGAGTTCTGTAAAATTAAAAAAGTGGGATTTTAAAGGGAACTTAGGGGAAGTACTCCTCAAGAAAAAGAGAAACTATAATAGGCAAGAATAAAGCTAACGGACTGTTTCATAAGAAAAGAGTAGATTCTAATTTTTCTTTGGAACTTACAGCTTGTCTTAAAACTACGTGAAACTCATTCCGACCTAGAAGAGTAAAATCGATGAGAGAGAAATATTGCTGTTTCTCCGTTTGGAGCATACCTTTGGCTATTTTATTCTTTATATTTCTGACTCATTCATACTCTTCCAATCACCATTTTACCTATAGATTTAACTGCATCGATTATAATTTTAAGCTTAGACCACTTATGTTTTTGTATAAATAATAATGTTAATTTATACTCATTTAGATCTCAATATGTGTCAGGCAGTTTATAAGCTTTCTCATTTTATTATAACTACCTCTAGTCCTATATTTGCCACCTTTTAAATGAATAGGGAATTGAATAAATTTGGTGCTGTGGTCTGAATGTTTGTGTCCCCCCAAAATTCCTATGTTGAAATCCTAAGTCCCAAGGTTATAGTATTAGGAGCTGGGGTCTTTGGGAGGTGATTAGGCCATGAGGTAGAGACTTCATAAATGGGATTACTACCACTATACATGAGAACTGAGGGAGCTCATTCACCCTTCCACATGTGAGGACACAATGAACACATGGTGTCTATAAACAAGAAAGTGGGCTCTCAGCACACCAAATCTGCTATCACCTTGATCTTAGATTTCCCAGCCTCCAGAATTGTGAGAAATAAATTTTGATTGTTTCTAAGCCACCCAATTTTTGGTATTTTATTATAGCAGCCCAAATGGACTATGACATTAAATGATTTACCTGAGGTCACATAGTTGGTACAGTGTAGTTAAGATTTAAAACTCGATCTAACTAATAGTAGGATAGATCTTGGGTCTCAGACAATGAAAATGCTGTTGCTGCTATTATAGAAATCACATTTCTTATTTGCACCAGGATAGTGCTAATTCATACTCTTCTTTCCTTCTCTTCACCAGCCACTTCAGTATGTTGTCAGGTACATACATCTAGTTCCTGCCTCTGAGCCTTGCACTTGCAGTCCCTTCCACCATGTGCTCTTCCTGTTTTTGGCTTGCTTCTTCCCTCCGTCCTCTGCTCATGGTCACTTCCCTGGCCGCCTATCTAAAATAGCATCCATTCCTATCCCAATCATCCTCTATATACTAGGGCAGAGTGATTCAAAGCTGCATTCAGGTGCCAGCCTGCTTAGATTGGGATCCCAGTCTGCTCACTCACCCACGCTTTGAAAGCTTGAGCAAGTAATTTAGCCTCTTGTAAAATTCTCAGTCCCTCACTCAAAATCTGGCCCATTCACCAACAGTATTGGCATCCCCTGGAAGCCTGTTAGAAATGCACAATATCAATCTCTTCTTGGGAACTATTGACTCAGAATCTACATTTTAACGAGAAAGCCAGGGGACTGATATGCATGGTAAAATTAGAGAAAACTTGGCTTAGAACACTGCTGGACAAACAGCAGCTCTGTAACTGTTAATCATTATTATTATTACCTTATTTTGTTCTTCTTGGCACTCATTTATCTAAATTATATTCTATAGGGTGGCCATAAACTACACAACCATAGATAATATTATTTATTTTTTTTAATATAGATTGATCCATCTCAATCACATTTTCTGGGATTTGCTAAAAGCACAGATTATTTAATGAAAATCAGGGATACCAATGCATCACAGATGCATGTACAGGGAATAGTGGAAAAGCGCAGCCTATTGAACTATACATTGCTGATGAAGGACAACATATCGATTGTATCATGTAATATCATGGAACTTATCGTGTATTATATATCAATAAATCATTTATTATGTATGCCAGCCCAGGCTTCCAAACATTATTACCATATTATATGCTTGTCTTTTTGTTTAGTGACTATCTCCCTCACTATAACAAATCCCATAAAAACAATCTTATATACCATTACTTCTAGTACTTAGAAGAATTCTCTCAATAATATTTTTGAATAAATAAATGAAAATGGAGTCCATTTCTGGGACCTGTGCTGGTGACATTTGGCTCATCTGGCTGATCCCATCACTGACTAATTCGGGGGAAGTTTTGTTATGTCACTTGCTCTTCACAGGCAACAAATGTAGGAGCAGTCCTGATGTCCCTGGTTACAAGTCATATCTTCCAAGAGTCTGACATTCTTTTACATAATTGGCAATTTTAGCCCTTAGCTTTCTTATGAACTCATTTAAAGTACAGCATGCACAGAAATTCAAAATCTTTTTTTCCACTAAGGCTTGTTTGTATTAATGAATCAAGGTAATTTAAAATGCTGCACCAATGGAAGGGAGGGGAATATTTCCACATGTGTGTTAAGTGAAGAGCTACACATATTTTGATTTTAATAAAGTAGTGAATTAGAATCTTTTGTAAAAGCTCTGACTGAGTCACTTTAAAAAGTCAATTGTCATGCAAAGATCAAAATGTGTTCTTTCATGCTAAAGCAGAAATGATGATCATGATGATTGAGAGACTAAAGAAATTTTAGAGGTGGCTAATTTTCAGATTAGATACTGATGGCAAATAGCTTTGAACTGAGGAAAGATGAAAATCTGGAACTCCCAAATATATAGAAGTAACATTTATTTGTGTGTGCTTTATGGAACTTTACTTATTCATTGAAAGAACATTTGTGTTGCCTTCATACCAGACACTGTTCTAGCCTCTGGGGATACATGAGGAAGAAGATATGTTCCTCATGGCTTGTCTGGAGGAAGAAGAAAATGGAGATAAATTAATGTATAATATATTTTTAAGTAATGATGAGATGAGTGCTATAAAAATAAATACAGAGAAGGAATGGATAGAGGATGATGTAATCTATAAAATGCCTAAGATAGGAAGCTTCGAGTGTTTAAGGAACAAAAAGAAATATTTAAGTATAGAGAGAATTATCACTCAAAAATATGGCATAAGCATAACTGTTAAATGATTGTGTTTGGATATCAAGGTTGATTATATTTCTACGTTTAACTTCTAATTAATTACATCTTAATTTTTTCCAGAGCTCTGCAAGTTGAACGCCTTTTTTTTGGTTTGTTTCCAATGTGTGTGGTGGATTCTTCAGGAACCTGCAAAAGCTGTCTTCCTGTCTATCCTTTAGTAGCAATTTATCCTTTATTTTCTTTGCATTCCCTTCTTGTCTAATCAACAGACATCCTTGTCTTAAAACACTCCTTGCCTTTAGACAAAGCTTCATTTCTTTAACCAATTACAAATGAAAGAATTTTTAAACCCACCTACAATTATAAGACACCCCCACTCCACCCCTTAGAGATGTCCTGCCTTTTTAGGCCAAAGCAATATATTCCCTCAACATATTCACTTAGGGTCTTATGTGTAATTCCTATCTCCATGAATGTATAAAACCAAACTGTAACCTAGCTCCCATGGACACATTTTCTCAGGACTTCTTGAGGCCATGTACTCTAGGCTGGCTGGTTCCAAATAAAGCTCTTTAAACTATTTTACAGAGTTTGGGTCTTTTTCATATGTTAAAATGGCACTCAAGTTTAATGATGCATCTGTATCACTGAAGGGACTTTAAAACACAGGTTGCTGGGCTCTACTCTCAGAGTTTCTGAGTTGATAGTTGGGGAGTGGGGCCTGAGAATTTGCATTTTTTACAAGTTTCTATGTTATGCTGCTGCTGCTGCTCCAAGAACTACATCATGAAGATCAGTGTTTGATATAATCAATGTCTGTGTTTAGTATACTTCCTGAATCGAGTAGGGGCTTGATAAACATTTTTAATAATAAAATTATACACTTACCATCATGAAATAAAAAAACATTTGTGTTAGGTCTCAATTATATCATCTTCTTTGTGGGCACAGACACAATAAAGTCATTTATTTAAAAAACAGCTCACTATTCAATTAAATGGGTACAACATATCAATTGTTCTCAAACCTGTATGGGCATCAGATTAACCCAGGGAGGGTTTCAGAATGTGGACTCTGGGTCAAATGCCTCACCAGCCTGCTCAGACTGTCTCAGTAAAAGACTGTGGGACATGTCTGTTTAACAAACGCTCCAGGCAATTCCTTTTTTCCAGTCAATCTGGCATTAACCTTGATAGACCTATGCAACCTTAAATAATCTATCCCTTATTCATGTAATTTAGTTAGTTTATCTATTTTCTTCAGTAAGTTTTAAGGAGCCTTTAGTTAAGCACGGCATATAAAATGAAAATACAGAAAGAACCACTTAGAACTTCAATACTGACTACATAAACTCTTGGCATTTGTAGGGGTGCCCAAGAATGATGGCTCCAGGTTTTAAACATCTCTAAAAGCTGAAGGCACTATTTACTGTGCTGTATAACTCTTATTGAAATACTTCTCAAATGCTTATTATGCTTTCCACACAGGTAATTTTAATTTCTTAAACTGTTGCCATAAAACGGAGAGGTGCCCCTTCGGGTTAGTCACACGGCTGGTGTGTCATGGAGCAGGATGAATCATGCTGGATCCTGTGATAGGCTGGTGGCCCCGCATCCTGCCTCACAAGACTGTGCTTTTTCTGCAATACTGCTAGCATGCCAGTAGACTCCAAATTGGTTGAGATTAGGTGCATCAGTTAAGAAAAAAGTGAGCCTCTTCAATCTTCTACTAGAATGATCAGGCTAAGTCCCATAAGAGGGGCCCAGAAATAAAATATTTTAAAAAATGTAATTCAGCCTTTTACTTCGTATTTGAAAGGAAAATGGAGAAAAATGAGTGGATAAAAAAAATCCTGGTTTGTTTTATTCAACCATCATTGCCATTCAACAAACATTTCTGAGAACATAATATATGCCAGAGAGTGTTGAGTTATTGTTGAAGGTGAAATTGTATGTTAGAAGAGATATAGTTCTGCTGTTGGATTCAGATCTGGAACAGCAAAGGTAGGTTTGTTTTTGGGGAGAAAGTTGTTGGGCTTTAAATACCAAATACAAGTTTGTGATGTCATATGTGCTGAATTTACTCTTAGAAAAGGGATCATTTACCATACAAAGATTAAGGAATAAACTGAAAAGAAAAAAAATAATGGAGGAATCTGTTTTAGTTGTAGACCCACCAGCACTCTGAAAAAGATAGAGATTACCCACAATTTTTAGAGGAGAGCAATATCTCATTAGTGAGGAAAAAGAGGGAACATAACCCAGACCTGATCTGTTCATATTGATCCCTTTTAAGATACCATTTGCATAGAATACATTGAAAAGTAAAAGGGGAATCGAAATTTTCCCAAGCTCTGGTCTCTCGATTTAAAAATGTGGGGAACTTCTATGATTTTTGGCACCAGATCTCTGAACCAGGTTTGTGGATTATGTTGGATAAATCGCAAAATCTTATGATATTAGTACTTGAAAATATTATATATGCTCTAGTACAATGTACTCATTGTAGAGGTGGGGAACTGAAGCTTAGAGATGTTAATGACTTGCTCAATTTGCACTTTAGTCAGTGGCACAGTTGTCATTGAGACCAAGGTCCCCTGACTCCCAATAGAGAGCTTCTTCCACTGTATCATACTGTCCTTAAAAATCTTCAATATTTTAAGTTATCTAAATTTTATTTGGTGGGCAATGGTCATTAAGGAAAAAAAAAAAGAGAGAGAGAGAATCATTCCCTGTTCTGCTTCTTAGATGTCTTTGTTCGGAATTGTCATTCTCGGCCTTGGTGAATGTGCATCAACTTGACTAGGTCAGCCATGCTCAAGACTGTCCCCCACCCTGAGATTATGATGAAAGTGTCCCTATGGCTTACCTCCAAAGCAGTCATGTTTTTCTGGTTTGCCGTAGACAGGCGATTAGCTTCTCTGATTTTATCTGTGGCTTCTCTCAATAGGTCCCAAGCATCATGGACTTTGTTTTTGTAGTCAGCCAGTTTCTCCCGGAGATCATTCTCCATTTCTTCACTTTTCCCCCTGGACTCTCCAAACAGCGTCTTCACTTTCTTCAGAAGGCTTTCTGCAGCTCTGCAACCACCCCCAGCCCAATAATAGACAATAAACACAAGTCACTGCCTCAGGGTTTATTGGTATTAAACTGTGTTATAAAGAGATACTAATATGAGAAGAGTGAAAAAATAAGAAAATATGCAAAGCAGATTCACTATGTACTGAATCAAGTTGAAAACTGGTACATGGAAGTGGCAAGACCATTTATAATTCAAATTAAAGCAAAAAAAGATTTTAAAAATTTTAAATTCATTTGTAAGACAATAATTTCAATTGGAAAGGGTCTCACGTCATTCTCAAGATCTGACTGATGAAATGAGTTTTGCGATTCACCTCACACATCTAAACAAAGAAAAAAAATCTCACCTGTTTTCACCAGAATGA